TGTAAACAAGATAACTTTAACCACATTTATGTTATTGAGATATTCAATATATTTTAATAATTGATTCTTGTTCATATTGCCTCTTCTCCCAACAAAAATTATTAATATACTATTAGGGTTAAATTTACTAGTTAAAATTTTATTCATAATATCACTGAATGATGCTCCAGGCATGCAGTAATTACTTATCTGTTGCCTTTTTAAACAGTTATTCAATGATATACCCAAGTTTTTGCCTATGTCATCACTATACACAATTACATTATTTTTTTCATTATATGAATTACTTTTTAAATTTATCTGCTTTGTTATGGTACTATCATAGAGTGTAGGTAAAGAAAATGAAGTATTACTGCTTGTCATATTAACACACACTGTCCCTAAAGAACCTGGCAGTGAGCGCTGATATTCATTTTGATATTTTAATAAGGAGTCAAAACGTTCCTCGTTATATTTGCAGGACTTTACCAGATTATCCATGGCCAGCATGTGTTCTTTTATCTCATTCCCTGCAGATTTATATTTATTTGACATAATTTGTAATGAGGTTTGAAGTGATAAAATTTCTGAATTAAGACACTCTATTTCAGTCTCATAACAATTTTTCATGTTTTTCACCTCAATTGAATATAATTTAATTTTACTAATTAACTCTTGCTTTTCCTTACATACATTTGTATAATTTTTAATATAAATTTTAGTTTTAACTAATTTTTGCACTTTCCTAATATATTTAAGTATTAATTTTTATATATTTTCTTAATTTCCTTCTGCTGCTTGTAATCCTTTCTGCTGTTCTTGATGTGGTAGAATCATCAGTCAAATCTATTGTTGTGGAGGGTTGCAACGTTTTATGAGATTTACATTCTACGAGCTCCTCGAACAGACTCTGAGTTTTAAGTGCATGCAAGTTATCAATGTATTGTTTAAATTGTGAAATTTGCTCATTAGTTCAGTTAATTGTAATTTCCATGCAGAAATTAATCTGAGGGATTCCTCATATTCTTTGCTGCATCGGTCAAACTCATCGACTGTCCCCTGGAGCTGATGCCTTTCCTTTAAAATATCTGTATAGTCTCTATGTAACTTAAACATATCACTTTTCAATTGAGTATTTTTCGAAATTATACTTATTATTTCCTTTTCGTTGTCATCCCTTTCTTTAAGTAACAGCTCACACTGCTCCCTGGACGCCCTCAGTTCTTGGAGCGCAAGATGAAGTTGGTTCTCCATCTGGCGCATTTTGGCGTTGCGAGTATTCATTTTACTATGTATTTTAAATAGTAAAAGAAAATAAAGATGGAAAATCAAGGGAACAGAGTAAGCAAATATCCAATTGTAGGACTCTAATTACAGATCTTAAATTAAATTATCAAGAAAACAATTCAAAATGAAATCCGAAAACAACAACACTTAAGAGATATATCGTAAATATTAAAAGGGATAACAATAATTCTATGGGATAACAAGAATTACAGTAACTTTTAAACGATGTTCGTTACCTGCTGTCACTTTAAGTTGAGAGGCACTAAAAATTTATTTATTTAGATATTTACCACTTTTATTTATTACACAATACAATTTGTTCGTAAGTAACAACTATAACTTAAATTTGAGGTGGAAATTATCAATTACAATAATTATTTTTACGAAATTATTTGGAAGCCCAATTATTTAACTATTTGTCACCGGGGTTGCCACAGCCAATCATACATGCCAATTCATACCCATCTCGGACACTTCTGAGAGAAACTCATCATCAAATGTTTTGAGGAGCTCTTCGTATTCCTTCTGTAAGACCTTATTGGCTCCTATAAAGTTCGTGCCATTATCGCTATAAATGTGATTAGGTTTGCCATGGCGGGCTGTCATTCTCCGTAACGCTGCTAAGAATGCAGTACTCGTCAGGTCAGACACCAACTCCAAATGTACAGCCTTTGTGGCCACACACGTGAACACAGCGATATAACCTTTCGTAGTTTTGATACCACGGCCTGCCTGAGTTAGCCTTGATAAACACGTGGTCCGTGTAGTATACAGCGACATGATGGAAGGGGAGTGAAGGGTTTGCTCTAGCTGCTGGAAGATCACCCATAATTTGATAGTGTTTGGTTGGTTCGTGCCTTCTACATTTGATACAATGACGTAATAATCTCTATTTTGGAGCCCTGTTGCCACCGACGATCCAGTATTTTTGTCTCAAGTTGGCTGATGTTAGCCGAGCAACACCATGGTATATCATTTCATGTGCCTGATCTATAAGAAGCTCAGCAAGGCGACTGTTGCCGGGTATAATGATAGGATTTTTCATGTCTGGGTCCAGATTGGCATTTCGTAACCTCCCACCGACTCTCAATTCTTCATCTTGATCAATATACGGATTTAGTTCACAAATGTTGCTTTTTCGATTTATTTAATTTCCTTGCTTCAAATCTGACAACTCTCTTTCAAATCCCGTTTGTTGTATAGTTTTGATAATTAATAACTTAGCTTCCTTCAACTCTCGTACTCTTAGATAATTTATATTTTGTTCTTTTTTGATAGTTAAAATTCTCCGAATCCATGCAACTATTCTTACCGCTTTGTTAATTGTGCTATATTTTGATAGGATTTCTTGAATGATAAAATCAGGTTGATGTTGTGCTACTAAAATTGTTTTAGATAATTTTAATTCTTCGTTTGTTGTATAAGCGATCTCATGCCCTTGGTCATTAAATGTTAATAGCCAAGTCGGGCCCAGCCACCGCAAGGTCTGGGCTTTGAGTTGTGATGCAGTTAGACCACGACTAGCACAGTCGGCTGGGTTTTCTTCCGACTTAACGTGAAGGTGTGTGCATAATGGAGCGAAATAATATTTTAAAGTGAAATAAATGGAAAGACTTAATTAAACTAAGTGGAGGACACAAAAAGTGAAAAATAAAACCGAAATACTATTTTAAAGTGAAATAAGTGGAAAGACTCAATTAAACTAAGTGAAGGAGACAAAAAAGTAAAAAAAAAAATGGCTAACAATAAAAAAAAATCAAACTCAATTAAGGCTAAGCCTAAAGATGAGATGAAAATGCTTCAGAAATTAATAAAGAATGCAGTGAAAACCTTTGAGGTTCAAATGAGGGATCTTGAGGAAAAATTTATTAACCAAACGAAAGGTCACCAAATTAAAATAAATCAAGGAGAGGTGTCCGGGGCGAGCACCTCTTATGTAAATGATCCTATACAAAATATTGTATATAATGTACATAATGTAACAATAGAAAAGCCGAAATTTGGAAATGGAAATACTCATCCAGTATCATTTTTGGAAGATCTCACCAATAATTTGAAGAAAGTTCCATCTAATGGTCTCGAAATATCAATAGCACAAGAGTGCTTAGTAGGTGAAGCCAAGTATTGGGCTCGCATTAATAATGTGCGTTGGACAACTTTTGATGATTTTAAAGCTCACTTTCTAAGAGTATTTTGGGGCGAAGAAGAGCAAAATAAAGTAAAGAGATTCCTTGTACAAAATAAATGGAATAGAAGTACACGTGGGGTGTGTTATTCATTGTGTGGTTTCTTTATGTTATTGGAAAGGCACAAACATTATCATATCCGATACCTGAAAAACAATTAGTAACTGATGTCATCAGACATTATCCTAAAACTGTGCAGCAATTATGGAGAATAGCTACAATTGAGGCAACAGATTTCTTAAGAAACTTAGATGACATCGATAAACAAGGTGAAGGTCGTGTACCTTACTATAATGAGAAAAGGAGGAAATTTAATAATAATACAGAGCAAAAACATAAAGAAATACAACAATCATACAAAACATGGCGTAAACGCGAAGAGTGAAAAAAGAAGGTTAATGAAGTACATGAAATACATTTCACCAATGACCAATCTGATGTTACGGACCCTGAGCCAAATTTAGAGCTGTAGAGGTCGATCTAGTTCCCGATTCGACCCCTTACAATATAAAAGGGAACAAAGCATTAAATATGTTATTAAAACTGGGTTGGCGACCTGGTCAAATACTGGGTAAAAATAATAGAGGATTGCGAAAACCTGCCGCTTTAAAAGCAAATTTTAACAGAGAAGGTCTTGGTTATAACAACAATGTAAATAGTATATTAAACACCTTAAAAGCCAGGTCGGACTTGTTCATAACGGAGTTATTCGTGCAAACCGTCTTCGAGGAAGACGGAGATAAATACCAAAGGGAATTTATAGGGAATATGAGATTTGAAATTAAAGTTTCAATATTTAACAAAGAAATAAACGCGCTCCTCAACACTGGGAGCGATGTTACATGCATTTCAGAAAGTTTTTATTTACAAATTAAAGATAATAATCGTAAAATATCAATAATGCCGGTTAAAGCAATGCAAATAAAAGCTGCTGTTGGGCAGCGCAGCACAAAAATACAACAGATGATCATACTGCCTATAAAGATAGATGAGGTAGTCTTTGAAACACAAACTTTAATTGTAGGAAATTTAATAAGACCTTTAATATTAGGCTTGGACTGGCTCAAGAGAAATAAAATATTGATTGATTTGAGAAATACTACTGTTGGAATAGAATTTAAAGTGAAAAACAAAGACTACTTTATACCCTTCAAATATAATAATAAATCTGTATTACATAATAACTGCATCGAACAATGTACCGATGATCCGTTAACAAATATAAAAATAGGATCTACATTGGAGGTCTTTCAAAAGGCAAAACTTAGTAAGGTTTTGGAAAAGCATAAGAATATGTTTTCGAGCAAATTGGGAAGATCCAATTGCTATGAGCATAAAATTGAAATGATCGATGATGAACCTATAGTTACTAGGTCCTATCCTATTCCATATGCATATAGAGCGAAAATGGAAGAAAAGTTTAATGAAATGGAACAAGCTGATATCATCACAAGGACATCAATGCCTTACATTAGTCCATTGACATTCACTCTTAAAAAAGATGGCTCAATTTGAGTCCTACTTGATGCCAGAAGCATAAATAAGAAAATGGTTGCAGAAACAGAGAAATCACCTATACAATTAGATGTTTTGAATTCATTCCACGGAGCGAATTATATCACTACCTTTGACTTAAATAATGCATATTTTCAAATTCCGATAAATAAATATGGTAGAAAATACACTGGTTTCACATTCAATGGAAAGTCATATGTATATAATGTTCTGCCGCAAGGATTAAAAACATCAGTAGAAAGCTTTAGCAGAGTCATGAATTTAATATTAGAACCAGAAGTCCAAGAATTTTGTGTGAACTATTTAGATGATCTAGCCATTATAACAACAGGAACGTTAGATAAACATTTGGAGCACATTGATATTGTTTTAAGTAAATTGAACAAAGCTGGCTTAACGTGCAACTTGCAGAAATGTGAATTTATTTGTAAAGAAATTAAAATGCTGGGTTTTATAATTTCAACAGAAGGCATAAAGACAGATCCCGATAAGATTCGAGCGATCTAAGAGTTTCCAGCACCTTAAAAGATTAAACAATTGAGGGCCTATTTAGGTCTATGCAATTTTTATAGAAGGTTTATACCAAATTACAGCGAGTACATAATACCGCTCTGTGAATTACTTAAAAAGGAACGTAAGTTCCAATGGAGCGGTAAAGAACAGAAGGCATTTGATTTTATAAAACAACAATTTATTAATACAATACAATTGCATCATCCAGACTTTAATAAGCCGTATTATTTACAAACAGATTGTTCCGGTGTTGGTATGGCCGGAGTACTATATCAGATAGATGATAATAATGAAATGAGAATTTTAGGCTATCATAGTAAAGCCTTAAATGGCCCCGAATTAAATTGGTCTGTTACTGAACAAGAGTTTTATGCTGTAATAAGCTGCCTAAAGAAATTTGAAACATATTTGAGGGGCAGTAAGGTAATAATATTAACTGATCATAAAGCATTATTGTTTATTAATTATATGAAGTTATTCAATGGTAGAGTAACCTGATGGATTTTGTATATAGAACAATTTAATTATGAAGTACAGCATATATCGGGTGGACGTAATATTGTTGCAGATGTGCTATCGCGTTATTCTCCTGATGGCGATTTAATACAAGAGTATAAAAATAATAGCTTAAAAATTGCTTACACAGAGAGCGAACCGAATATTGAGTTGATAGAAAAATTAAAATCCTTATCAGTATATCAATTACAAGATTCAGAGTCGTTGGCTATTATTGAAAAGTTAAAGACATTAAATACTTCCATAATAAAACAAAACGATAAATTGAGAAGGTATAGTTTGAAAAATTATGTATTATATTACAAAACGAATTTAAAAGAAGTAATATTTTTACCTAAAGCATTGAGACAAGATATTATAAATCAAGTACATGTTGAAATGGGTCATCAAGGACCCTGTAAGGTAATTAAACATGTGAAAGACAGATTCGTTTGGAAAGGCTTAACAAAAGATATTAAAAACCAATTAAAAGCTTGTAATTTATGTCAGTTATCTAAGAAAAGCAATATAATATATGTGGGTCCATGCAAATCTATAATAACAGAAAACATTGGCGATATAGTAAGTTGAGTTGAGTAAGCATACTCAACTCCATGTCTTAGTGCAATAGCGCTATGAAACGGGGCATTTTGGCTACTGACGTCTTAGTGGCGTGTTGCTGTGACACGTCAGTGGTATTTTGCGGGTAGTGCTGTCTGCTGGGACTGTATGGGGAACCTTGGGATGGTGTAAGCCCGACATTTTGATCCGTTTTTTCTATTATATTACAAATGTTATTTATCTTTACTATTGCAATATAATCGACTTGTATTTATATGATTTAGTACATTTTGAATATTTTAAGCAGAATTTTAATAAATTTAGAGATTTTTTAGAGACAATTTATGCGTTTACTAATACTATACTTTACTATATTCGAAATGAATATATTAGAACTTTATGCTTATTATTTGCATTTTAATTGTTTAAAATATAATTTCTAAGACATTTTTAAATGTTTTTATAATGAATTTAATTATTATTTATTAATAATAATCATGAGGCGTCACAATCCACCCCCAAATTTTATGTTAATGATCCACACAGTGTAGTTGTTAATATAAAATTTTAGTATTTTGAGAGTACATACACTACACTCAATTAATTGTTTATATATCTGTTCTTTCCTCTTTTAATCTGTAACAATACAGTATATGTTATCAAATTCCCCTACCCCTGGGAATGGCCGCCACCAACACCCCTTTAACCACATCCATCACAATGTGATAACACCGGTATCACATTGTGATGGATGTGGTTCATAATTCAGGTTATTATATATTGTGTTGTTAATAAAGTTTCCAGTCAATTGTCGATTTCTCATTTTATTAATTTATCTTTAAATCTTTGAAACATTATTTCAATAGTGTCACACTTTATGTGCATACAATCCAGTTGGATATTTGTTGAGATCAGTTGAGTACCACACAGGATAAATGTGATTGAGCCATTCACCCTGACCCAACTCCCATATTTATTTAATAAAAAATGATTACAAATTATCTTACGATCTATATTTACAACTCTTCATTATTTATTAATAACTTTCTTCTATCATATAACAAATATCTTGCTCATAACTTAAATAATTTTAGACCATTAACTTACCAATTATTTTCATGGGCCACCTACAAGACCCTTTTATGTTACAATATTTATTTAATTACACTAATTTATACAAAATGAAATTATTATTTAAAATATTTTAATAAGTGAATAGCATTGAAAATTCCTCTAATTTCGTTTGTCTCTGGATTTGCTAAGGTATATACATTGTCAAATGGTACGGCTGCTATTACATAAGGCCCTTCATATGCCAAATTGAACTTACTCATAACTTTATTATCAGCGTCTGATTTACTAGACTTTCAAATTTTTACTAAGTCGCCAATATTATATTTTATTAATCTATTTCGCTTATCAAATTTTGTGTTTCTTATTCGACTTACCTCTTTTAAATTTTTACGCACTTGTTGTCTAATTTGTTCGACATTATGTTTGTCTTTACTTTTGCAAATTACTTTGTCAAAAGACATTTCATTAGACTCACCATAAAGAATCTCACAAGGCGTGAAGCCTGTACTATTGTGATAAGAATTATTATACAATTCTTCTACTTTCGGCAATACGAGTATTAACGCCCAATCTTTGTGGTTAGTATGACAAAGCGTACTAAATAATCTGACAATATCGCCAATGTTTTCTGTTATAAATAGATTTGACTACTGTGATATACTTCGACAACGGAACTTATTTCCACGGAGTAAACACGAGTTATGACGGGCTACAGAAGACAAGGGACCAAAGCTGAAGGACTCCTTGCAACGAAGGACCGAGAGGAAATTCATTGCACCAAGTGCGCCCAACCAAGGTGGTGCATGGGAACGACTCGTGCGCTCCATGAAGACAGTGCTAGACGCAACCTGCACTCAATAAGAAGAGCCCAAAGGAATAAACTCAAATCACCGTATTAGCTGAGACAGATAACACAGTAAGTTCGCGGCCCTAGGAAGCACAAATGGGATTTTTTACGCGGTAGAGCCATGCTGCAGCTATCTTAAATAATCCAAGTAATTTGTAAAATAAATGTTTGCACTGGTTCTACAGTTTGCGGTTATGTTTCGGTTGTCGTTTCTGCATTCAGAAGCAAACCATTATTGATAGTTATATCTGAAATTCTGAAAGTGAAAACGGTTTTCAATAGGAGTGGGTAATATCGTAAGTTCTGAATATCATATCGAAACTATATATTGATATTTGATATCGGATTTCGAAACACTATATTTTCTAAAACTATAATGTATTGACGATATTATGTCTTATATGCAGTTTTTTCGAAACAGGTTTCGCGACGATATTTGACCAAGTGGATACTGATTCGATACTTGGCTATATATGATACTTAGAGTGACTAGGTACTATTATGAAAACTATAGTATGCACTATGTATTTTATACAATATATAACTAATATGAACTGTCCTTCATACTATTACCAGGCTTAGGACTGGCTGCAATATTTTCGGTTTTGAAAAAAACCGAGTTTTATTGTTTTAATAATTAATTAGGTACGTATATATATATATATATATCACGTAATTCGCGAGGCTATTGAAATTAAAAAACATCCTAATTTCAATAGAGAAGATGGATGGGTGCTGCCATCTGCTTGGGATCCCATAATTAATAAAATCAAATTCAAACCCAAGTATACCACTGCTAGACTTCAAGATACTGTAAGCTCATTCTGCGTAAATCGAACCAAAAATTTATATTAAAAAACTGAAGGTAGCCGGGCTAACTATGACAGCAGGACGTCAAACACCTCAGTCCCCCGTGACCACGGGTGCTGGAAAGCACCCGAAACGTCGGGAATATAAAAATAAGTTAATATACGCGATAAAATCCAAAAAATTAGTTTTATTTAAAGATATACACAAATTATTATTTACACTTATAAATATAATGTAAGTCACAAAATTAAATTGTTTTATACCGAAATAACACAAATACACTTTAAAACAAAATCAAATTAATAATTTCAAAATTTTCAAAACTAAGAAGGAACAACAAATAAATGCGCTCAGCCGATTGTTTTACCCACGTTAAACTAAAAATAGAATATTAACAAGTGCTACAAGATACAAGTGCATTGCGATCATTAGTGCCCTTAGATTAAGCTCAAAAGTTGAAATTTTATAAAACAACCGCGCCAAAATACTAAGAGAAACCTTCCAACAGACTTTGTACAATATTAAAGTTAAGGTTTAGAATCGTATGTATTGTGTAGCTATTTCAGTTTCATCAATCACACACTCCCTCTCTACTTTGGTATAATATCTAACGTGGAGCTTCGGCGGCGATCGTGTCTGCTCGGTATTCATTCGTCATATGGTATAATATACGGTTTGACTTCGGATTTCGATACCACTGCGATACAATATCGTCCCAAATCGTGATCGGCTGTCGGGCACAAGCAATATAGTGTTTCGTCCGATATACAGTTTTTGTTTAGGCCGATATCGGATATACGATATTGAATCAATATATAGATTCAATAACTTTATACGTTTTGTATCGCCCACTCCCACTCCTAGTTTTCAATATCGATGTGAAAACTGAATATACCTATATAGATAGATTAGGTCATCGTTGCATCTTTAAATAATGACACCCGTATGTGCTTGCTGGTTGGTTATAGGGATGTGAAAAAATAATCGAATTTAAACTTTAATCGATTATTTTTTTGTTATAATCGATTTTTCGAAGTCGATTATTTTTATAATAAAAATCGATTTTTAATAAATCGATTTTTATGTAAATTACGCGTTTCAATCGATTTTTGTAATCAGAGTCATCTCTGCGATGGATGTAAAAACGTGAAGTAAGTTCAATAATATGAATAAGTCAATCAAAAGACGGCGCCACCTTTATGTATCT